AGATTTCCACCCCAGATTTATTGAATCAGAATCTCTGGATTACAGTCTGCAAGCAGGAAGACAAACAGTACAGCTGAGTATCTTCTGTCCATTAAAGTTTGAGAACTACTGCTTTACCAGCTGCAGAAACTCAAGACACCAGATGAAGTGGCAATCCCTCCATGAACTGCACTAATTGACAAGACATATGCCAGGAGGTTGGGAGCCCTCAAAGCTTCGTAGGCAGCAAGCCCAAGGGTTTGGCTTCAGTGATCAGTGTTGCAGCTAATTGTAGTGGTACCTGTGCTCCCCACCTTTTTTCTATATTGATTTGCTTTTAATCAGGTATCCCAATAAACAAAAGGAGGTAAAAGAAAATATGCTTGTGAGCAGCATCTTATTTCTTCATTAAACTACAGGTCTCCTCCCCAAACCTTAAAATTCCATGGGTTTAGGAATGTCTGGATCCTAAGTTTAAGACGATGAGTTATAAAATAGTTATTGTTGCCTTTATTTTCCCCTTGTGCATTTCTTGAGGGCAGGGACCATTTCTTACTCCTCCGTGGCCTTTTTAACCTAAATTCTCCAGATGTTTTATAAAAGAACATTCTTATTTTTACCTTGGGAGACTTAACAGGAAAATGGGATTAAATATCTCCTTATGGTTCTTCAGTAAACAGTAGAGGAATCACTGTGTATTCTCTCTCCTGGACCAGTGCCCTGTTGAGCTTATTTTCCTGCTGACCCATAACAATGCAAACAATATAACTTTGTCAGTTAAACATAGGCATATATTTGAAGAAGATAAAAAATAATAAAATCAGCAAAACCAATTTGACAATTAGTCTATAATATTGATTAAATGCCCACTATGTGTCAAGAAAATCACAAAGGACCACAGTCCCTGCTTTTGAGAAAATACAAACTATATAGAGAAAAAGATATTCACACATAATCTTCATGCAAACAGAGATGAAAAATTTCTACAGGATATCTCCTTTGAGTCAATTATTGTAAGACTGGAGCAAATACCGAATGTTAGCTTCCTTCTTCCATCCATATCCATTTCCTTTCCATGACAGGAGTTCAGGTCCTCACCTCTGCTGAATGGTGCTCATCTTCTAACTAGACAAGTGTCTTCTAGCTGGTATTTTAGCATCCAATTCATACTGTAGAATGTTGCCAGATTATTTTTCTAAAACATTGCTTTTATCATGTGATTCCCTGCTAAAAGCCCCACTTCAGTTTTATCTCATCACTTTTTATAGGATAAAGTTCTATTGCCTCTTTTAAAGTCTGCTGACTATCGACCTTTCCAGTGTGTCTCCAACTCCTCCCTCTATGAGTCATATGCTTCCATCTTCCTGTACATCTTCAAGGTCCTACAAGCCTAAGTTAATATCTTTCCTTTCCCCAATATCATATTATTTTATACTTCTCTGTCTAAGCAACTTTATTTCTCTTTGTCTGGAAAGCACTATCCTGCCATTTTTTTTTTTACCAATAATCCCTATTCACCTTTCCGAAAACAGTTCAGGTGTCAGATTCTGACAAATCCCCACTCCAGCCCCCTGAGAAGGCCTAGTGTTGGCTGCTGTCTCATACTGCTGGTAGAGCATAATTTGATTTAACCAATCTGGAGGGCAATTTTACAATATATATCAAAATCTATAAGTGCCATGCCTTTCAGACAAAAATTCTACTTCTAGTAATTTATCCTAAGGATGTGCAGAGACAACATTTGTGGTTATCTGCCCAGCCCATGCTTTCATTCTCTTGACCGTGGGGGAAGACCCCATATGAGAGTACTAGAAGAGAGAAAGTCAGTAGGTACAAGGAAGAGAAAAGTTAAGCAAAGAGGACTTCCAGGCTAAGACATATCCTCTTTACCTCAAAGAGCAATGATAGATAATCTTTATAAGGAGATATTTGAAGGGACCTGGCCAACTCAAAGACAAGTGAGCACCTCTGTGGACCACATGTGGAAAACCATAGTAGTGAACAAGGATGAAGTTAACAGCCTGCCAGATACTTGATTCCAATGTGGCCACAAAGGCAGCAGAAGGTGACTGACATTCTGGAGAGAACACAGACCCCACCAATGCCTCATCATACTGAAGAAGGCTCCTTTTGCAGAGAGAATGTGGCAGTCATTACACAGGAACAGAGCGCTCAAGTGACAGAGACAGATGGAGTGGAAGTATTAAGCAGACATTTCTGGAGTTGATAAACAGTGAATGAGTAAGATTGAACAGGGCCCTGAAGTGAGAAATAGGCCTCCCACTGCAAACACATGGAATAAGAATATACATACAAATAAGTATAGGATGTAGGACAGGTAGGGCGAGTATCCTAGTCACATTAGTTATATGACATCCACCAGTTCCTTAGTTAGAAAGAATTGGAAAATGCTATTAGAATCTACTGTGTATCTTCTATAGTTTATTTAATAAGAACATCAGTTGTAAATTCTCTCTCTCATACTCAAGTATAGAAGCAGAGAAAATGGGTATCCTCTGAAAGCAACTGAGATGGCAATTTCTGGTGATTTTACAGACCCTCCTGTACCAGTTCTTCATGAGATCGAATGCATGAGGTTGTGGGTTTTGTGAAGTCATTCTGGATCCTTATATTAAGTTATACTTCTCTACTTTAGCAGATTTGAGTGGCTTTTTGCTCATTACAATAAGAGGAACCTTGGCTAACCCAAGAAATAATGGATTTGGACCCAAATTTTATATATGAGTATATTTGCTAAGGAAGTATGTTTAACAGCAGAGAAGTGGAAAAAATCTAAATGCACCAAATAGGGAAAGATTAAGTA